GGTATGTCTGTAATGTCTTTTGTTTTTCCTTTGACCAATGATAGCTCTAAAGAACTGAAAAAGTCTACAGGCTAAGACAGATCAAAAGCGATGGATCAAATTCATTTATTCACGTATACATTAATATTTATTGTTCTAGGTACTTGGCGATTTTGCAGTGAACAAAACAGATATGTTTCCTGCTCGCTCTCTTTTTTTTTTAAATTTTATTGTGCTTTAGGTGAAAGTTCAGCCCTGGTGGCACAGTGGTTAATAGCTCAAGTGCTAACCAAAAGGTCGGCAGTTAAAATCCACGAGCCGCTCGTTGGAAACCCTATGGGGCAGTTCTACTCTGTCCTATAGGGCCACTATGAGCTGAAATCGACTCTATGGCAACAGGGTTGGCTTCTAGGTGAAAGTTACAGCACAAATTCGTTTCTTGTTCAAAAATTTATACACAAATTGTTTCGTGACATTGGTTGCAATTCCCGCAATGTGTCAGCACTCTCCCCCTTTCCACTCTGGGTTTCCCGTGTCCGTTTATCCAGTTTTCCTGTCCCTTCCTGCCTTCTTGTCTTTGTTTTCGGCAGGTGTTGCCCATTTGGTCTCATATACTTGATTGAACTAAGAACAACGTTCCTCATGTGTGTTATTGTTTTATAGGCTTGTCTAATCTTTGATTGATACGTGGACTTCAGGAGTGGCTTCAGTTCTGAGTTAGCAGGATGTCTAGGGGCCATAGTCTCGGGGTGCTTCCTGCCCTCTTGTAGCATACATTCTAAAGGACAGAACCTACAATAACTGCCTCTTTAAAAGGACACTAGCCTGAATACTTAATTAACATAATGTGTATCATGGAGGAGCCCTGGTAGCACCGTGGTTAAGTGCTCTGCTGCTAACCAAAAGGTCAGCAGCTCAAACCCACCAGCACGAATATTTTTTTTAAATCCCTCTTAATAGCTTCTCATTAGGCTAATTCACAAAATATCCATTTCTTTCAAATCCAACCAACCAAAAAACTTACATAACTGTAGATTTTTCTGTTTTGTAGTTTCTGAGAAAAAAAAACATCTGACAGGAAGGCTAAAGAGGATTTATTTTTAAAAACTTCCAGGCCCTGGAAAAGGGTCAGTTTAGGTCTGGCCAAATCTTCTACAACTATAATTCTACATGAAAGATATATTTTTTCTTTTTACAATCAGCACTGCTTCTAGAAACCTTGCTGGCTTTGGATATAGGAAGGTGGGCCTGAAGTAAAGTTTGGTTACATAAGCAAGAAAAAGTTAAATGGCTTTATATAATAAAGTATTTGGATTCTGGGGGCAATCAGAAAGAGGAGCAAAGAAGAAAAAGAAAGAGGTGGGGGAAAGAGTCGTCAGACTTCAGAGCCTGGAGTTACTGGGATGAGTGGTCAAATGTATTTTAAGGGTAGAGATGCCTAATATTCAGTTATCAACACTGTCATTGTTACAGTGTAAACCCCTCTTCTCCCTCTTCTTCCCTCAAATCTCCAATAAAACTTACCTCACCAACAAAGGCTTTACGTTTAAAAAAAAATTTTTTTCCTCTTCTTTGATAGCTCCTGTTGGAGACCTCTATCCAACAACAACATCGTGAACATCTCAACCACCCATTAGTATCTCACTGGGTTGGTCCAAAACTGAACAATTATCTTCCTTCCCCCACCCGTACCATCAATTGTTTTTAACTGCTCCATCTTATATCCAACAATGTTCCACTAGCTCATTAATGTCATCATCACTAAAGGAACAACTAATATTTATTGAGTAGTTAGAGTATGCTAGGCACTCTGCCAAGGGCATTTCATGCGTAATTTCACTTGATCTTCAAACCTTACTAGTCAGGCGCTAGGCTCATTTCCTAACTATTAGGAAACCAAAGCTCGGTCAGGACAGCAATTCTGGTGATAACTGTGGAAGGGAAATTTGAACTCTGTTCTGACTCTAGAGCCAGCTCAACCACTATGCTCCAATGCTTCGAGACAAAAAGCCTAGGAATCATCCTTCTCTCATTAATCATCTCTAGTCACTCACCAAATACAGTCAAGCATACCTTCTAAATGCCACTCCCACTGCCTTCATACAGAATAATAACTAGCATTTACTAAGTGCTTATTATGTGCTACGCACTATTCTAGGCAATGCACGTTTGATCAAGTTTTATCCCCCAAGTCCTATGAGATGAAGAAACTAAGGAATAAAGAGGTAACACAGCTAGTGATACAGCCAAATTCAAATCCAGGCCATCTGGGTCCAGATTAAGGGGCTTTGAGGCTAGAGCCTCTTGCTGTTTTCCTATGTCCCATCTGAACCCCACTATCCTCCAGGCCGTGGCAGAGATACAGGTATCCCCCACATTTCTAAAGTTTGCTTTATGCCACTTTGCTTTTATGAAAGACCTACATTAGTACCTGTTTTCACTAACTGAAAGAAATCAGAAGAGGATTTTAGCTTTTATAAAAAAAGCGAAAATAGCATTCAGTGTTTGTTTTACGGTAAACTCTTAGAGGCAACGCGCGTTCTGAGCAGGGAGAGTTGCCTTGCCAAGCTCCTTCCCCAGAAAATACACTAAGCGACCATCATCACCACCACTACCTCTCAGCCTTTCAAGTACGCTTGCTGTTTTCCCAATTCTAAGTGAAACTACGCTGTACGTAATTTCTACTTTATATGGGTTGTACATTTATCATATCATTCCCGCTTTTACTATGTGTTAGTGTTATTTGAGGTTTTATGTGTTCTTTGGAGGAGCCCTGGTGGTGCAGTGGTTAAGCATCCAGCTGCTAACCAAAAGGTCAGCAGTTCAAATCCACCAGCCGCTCCCCTGGAAGCCCTATGGGGCAGCGCTACTCTGTCCTATACGGTCACTATGAGTTGGGATCAACTACATCGCAACTTTTTTTTTTGGTGTTATTTGGTATGATTTGGTAGGTTATTTTTTGGGTCTGGGAACACTCTAAAAATTTTTCCGTATAAACTAATGCTAATTACTTCTTTCCTTTATGCCATTTCAGTTTACAAAAGGTTTCACAGGAATGCTCTACTTTCGAATAGCAGGGAAAACCTATGTATCTTTCCGGGTATGCAAATGTTATCGTGACACTCTCCTGATTAACATTAGCAAGCAACTCCATATCACTGACTGGATAAAGTCCAAATTTCTTAATTTGGTTTACAAAATCCTTCATGTTTCTGTTCAAATCAGTTCTGGAATATGTGACTGCTCCAAAAGGAGTAATGCACCAGCCAGGGGTACTATTCTAATTCGAAACACTGCATCCTTCAGCCAGACTGACCACATGCAGACCTCTACAGCAACACCCCAAATATACATGTATTTGCAAGTGGCTTACTTGTTAGTCCCTCTGCCTAGAATATAGCTGGCAAAATCCGACTCCAGGCTGAAGACTACGTGCCTATGTGAGGCCTTCCCTAACTTTAGACAGAATTTGTTCCCTCTTCTGAGTTCCTGCAACACTATGTTCAAATTACTTTCAGATAACTAGTAGAACAGTGGTCTGTATCAGCTTCCAAATGAGACTTTCATGAGCAACTCCAGGGCAAAGCTGCCCCAGGCCATCAATGCCTGGCATGCAGTAATACCCTATTCTTTAATAACTGAATAAAGAATGAAAAATTTCTAACCTGATGAGAAAAGGAGAGGAACAAGATACAAAATCAGGAATGTTAGCGCATCAGTGGGCTGAATTAAAAATAGTATTATTCTACTATGGTTCAGATTTGGTCTACATTTTACCCCTCTGGAGAAACTCACGTGTGTGACTTGGACCAACTAAAAAGGCAAAACTTTGTTATTCATAGCTCAGCAAAGCTTTGACAGACCAAAGAAGATATGAGATTCCCCTCTTCTTCTTTACTTGCCGAAGTACGTTTTCCAAAGGGGGTGGTGAGGGGAGGGTGGGAATCAAATCTACCAAAATAAATAACACTGATCTACTGAGATCCAGCTCCATCAGCGCTGAATCACAGTACATGCAAGAGACAAATCAAAATCTATCCCGGGACGAAGGCCAATTTACATTAACTACTACTGCTGCAAGAATATGAAATTCTTAAAGTGAAGGCAGTTTCAATAAACCGTAGTTCACAACTGTTTCCTCCTGCTGAACCGCCACTGCACTTTATTCCACTTCGTTTCTGATCTCTGTGATTTAAAAAGAAAAATCTATACAGTTAAGCTGCATGCATGAACTGACTTTAGCTTCTGGAAGACAGGAACATCTGGATGTATAACCTTAAATACATACTGAAATACCAGAAGGACCACATTAAGAGGCCAAAAGTCCTTGGCTTAAAACATGGGGGAAAAAAAAGGTTTGAAAGATGAGTGGTGTATTTCCTAAATCGTGCTTTGTGCGCAACTACTTCCAAATGAAGATTTTGTATTTTTGAAAATTCCCACCTCAAAGATGGCAAATCGCTCTCCCACCCCCTGCAGCCTAAAGGGAAAGGTGCGAGAATAGCCAACAGGCTGGGATAGAGGGTATGCGCTTTCCCTATCCCTTTTCCAGGGGGCGCAAGATCGGACAGGAAGGCAACTCGTACCACTCTCATACTCCCCAACAACACAGACATGGGAAATTAAAAAGCTCACCCCCACCTCTCCCCTCTCTAAAAAAGCAAACGAGCAAAGATCAGCAACGCGGCGGCCGAAACCACCCAAGGGGACTAGCCCGGGGCCGCCCGCCGCTCCCACGCGGCACCGGCGCAAGGCAGCTGGGCAGTCGGGTCCGCGCGAGGGGCCGAGACGTGCGGCCCACGTCCCCTCTGCAGCCGAGCGGGCGAGGGAACAGACCCGCGGAGGGCGCGGCTCCGCCAGGCAGCTTGTCCGCCGCCGGCGAGGGACGCGCCACGAGGGGAGGCTGGGCGCTGCTCCCCGGTGCGGGCCGCTCCCGCAGCTCCCGGCACGCGCGTCTGCCGCCCGCGCCGAGCGCGCCGGCACCTGAGGGAGCGAACGCAGCGGTGGGCAAAGTTACTCACTGGGAAGCTCGGGTGCTCGGCGCGCTTGGCTCCCGGCGCCTCAGCCCCGCGCGGGCTCCCGCTCTCCGTGGCCCGCTGAGGGAGCGGGAAGAGAGCCCGGCTCCGCTCCGCCGGGAACCGCCACAGTGGCCGCCGCCTCCAGCCGCCACCGCGGATTTCCTGGCAAGAACCAAACTCTCGCCAAGACTTTACTTCTCAACCGCCCCTGCTGCCTTCCCGGGGGCGAACGCCGGGGCTGAGTCGCCCAACCCGACACGCATCTGAGCCAATTCGCGGCCGCACAGGGCGGGAAAGGGGCGGGCCAAATGGCGGCTCCACCTATCCAAGGGCGCCGGGGGCGGGTCAGGACGCGGCCGTCACTCACGGGTTAGAGTGAACCTTCTCGCCGGGGTCCCTCCCACACCGTGTCTGAGCTGTCCCTGCCGCTTGCCTGATTTCCCTGCAGAAGACACGCTCGAGGGGTGTCTCTGCCGAGCCCCGATGCCCGAGCGCCGCGAGGAGAATGAAACAGCTGGGGGAGAGATGGCAATATAGGGGAATCTGGAGGGAGGCAAGGAGAACAGGTGGCTCAGGAAGAAGAAATGTAGGTGTGCTGGGCGAGGACAGCTGGGGTAGAAATGGGCTGACTGGGGGCAAGGGAGCTGCTGGGAGCTGGAGAGTAGGAAGAGAGAATGGATTATTGACGAAGAACAGCACCTGAGGGGACAGAGAGACGAGACACAAGGAAGAAAGCGGGCGGAGAGCCATTCCGAGTGGTGAAAGGTTGCACAGGCGAGGGCAGGACACCTGGGAACAAAGGTGAGAGGGAGGTTCCGCAGGTGAGGAGGTTTAAGGAGCTAAAAGGATAAGGGGGAAAAGAAGCCCAAAGTGGGGATGGACGTATTCTAGGGATAGAAAAGATCCTGGGAAAGAAAGGACGGGGAAAACCAATTTTCTTGCAAACTCTCACTCCTCCAAGATAAAGGCAAACGCTTGTCCTTTGGCCCAATTGAGACGTGCAACTGCAAGATCCCCAACGAGACAAATACTGTCTGAAACCATTGTATTTTGTTTGAAATTCTTCTCTTCCCACGTTACCTCCTTCCTTTCTTAAAAAGTGTGTTGATAAACTTGATGCTATCTATAAAGACCTCAATACCCGCTGAGTGCTCCTGGAGTCGTCCCATGAAAGCCCCTGAGGGTTGGGGTGCCGGGGAGGGCCAGCCTGGGAGCAACACCCTCCCCCACGGGTCTAACAGCAAGACAGAAAGAGGCCTGACTCTTAAGAAGAAAGGTGATTAGGGGGCGGCAGGTAAGGTGCCGCCCCCTTCACCTTCACCAGGGGGAAGGTGCCCTGGGCTGAGCTCGGGCGTACACCGGCCAGTCTCCCGCCTCGCGGTGAGGCCTTCGCCGAACCCTACCTCTCCGCCCCTCCCGCTCAGCTGGCGGGCTGCTGGGGGAGTGCCAGGTGAGCCGGGCGAGCCTCGCGTCACCGCCCTCCTCGCGCCGGGGGCGGAGCCTCCCAGCCCCGCCCAGCGGCCGGGCCCTGCCGCGCCGAAGCGGCTCCTCCTCTCTCCTTCCGTCCCCCCTCCTTCCGTCGATCTTTCCTTCCTTCCTGCTTCGCTTGCACGTTGCGGGATATGGGGTAGAGCCTCTGGTCAGCTAGCACCACCTGAGGAGCCGGAACACACCCCACGATGGAAGAGGACCAGGAGCTGGAGAGGTAACGGCCAAAGAGGCGGGCGAGTGGGCGGGAGGAGCGGGCCGCGCCGCGGCCGGGGAGCCGGTGGCCAGTGGCGCGCGGCCGGGCCGGGGCCTCGGCCTCCGCGCCCGGCCTGGCAGGATGAGTCTAACCCGGGGCTCCGAGAAGAGAGGGAAAGGGGATAGATGTGGGCACCTCGGCAGAGAGGGGGCCCTGGCTCTGGGGAAGAGAGAGAGAGGGTGAGAGACATGGATGGTTTGAATTCACACGCTTCGTAGACTAGTAGATACCAAGGAGGCAAGACAAGTTGTGAGACCAGAGGGAAGTCCCCGAGCTGCTCACCCCTCCTTAGAACAGCAGGAGTAAATAAAACTAAAGCTGAAATTCCGCGCCAGGCCACTGTTCCCTAAGTGGACGGTATTGGGGTGTGCAGACAGACCTGAGTCCTGGGTTTATCGCTCCAGAGGCTTCTCTGTGCAGGCTGTTAGTAATGCCAGTCCTCTGTGCGCTGAGTTCTTTTTCTCCCTCCTGCTTGACTCTGCTCAGACTTTCCATTCTCCTAGTTTCCTTACTTCTTGCAAATGGAAGCCATAGCTGGGCCTGCACGTCGGTAATCTGTAGGCTCAAATCTGACTTTTACACTAAAACAGTATGTTTTTTTCTTGTTACTTTCAGCCTCCTCTATTCTCCAGCAGGGCTCCCCATTCTAATCTTTTCTCTTTCTTGTGACTCTACCAAAATAATATTTTAGCTAACATTTACGCTTTTGCCTTAAGAAGACCCTTCTTGTGTCCATATGGAAGGTCAAAAGGAGTAGGGAGAAACTGGAGGCGATAATTTAAATATTGATTGAATGAATTTGTGGAGGCAGGAAAATAAGAGACAAATAGTTCTGTGTGACTGGAGTGGATTAGAGTAATAATGTGTTCTAATTGTGGTATAGTAAGTGAAAGAAAGCTAGTTACAAAGCTGTTCAGTATGATCTCATTTTTATAAAAAATGTGTGTGTAGAAAAACACATGGATTGAAGACCTCAGTGGCTGAAGGCGAGAGGAAGACAGCCCTGGAAATGGTTCAGGCAGCTGGAACAGATAGACACTGTGTGACATTTGTATTACACGAAGAGGACCATACTCTAGGAAATTCTCTTCGTTACATGATCATGAAGAACCCAGAAGTGGAATTTTGTGGTTACACTACGACCCATCCTTCAGAGAGCAAAATCAATTTACGCATTCAGACACGAGGTGGTCTTCCAGCTGTTGAGCCATTTCAGAGAGGCCTGAATGAGCTCATGAATGTCTGTCAACATGTGCTTGACAAGTTTGAGGCGAGCATAAAGGACTATAAGGACCAAAAAGGCAAGCAGAAATGAACCTACATTCTAGCCCCTTATGCAGTATATGATGAGGATATTCTCTTCATGATCATGCAGAACCCAGAAGTAGAAGTGTATGATCTAGTCTTCAGAAAGGCGTGCTTCTAGCTATTGACCCATTGCAGCTGTTGGATTCCCTGCAAGTATCTTTGTATTCTTCAAATAAATTCCCTCTTATTAAACTGGTTTGAGTGGTTTCTGTTATTTGTAGGCAAATGATACACAAGGATGAATTTTCTTTTTCTTTTAATTGAGCCAGTGTTGTTAGTGGGGAAACTATAAGGAAACCAGGCCTTAGAAAAGGACTTTGATCATAGGAATTAAAAGGAGTATACATCCATGGCTGTGATTTGGAGAAGGGAGGAGATGCAATAGAACATGGCCCCAGACAGACTGGTTGATTTAAAAAAAAAAAAAGAAAGGGAAACACTTGGTTTCTTGCTAGATATATACGTATAGATATATCTGTATATATAAGATTAGAGAATTCCATCCTTTGCTGCACTGGGCAAGGTTGGCAGATAATTTGAAAGAATTGTATGAATTCTGCTTTCCCATGAGAGTTTTAGGTGGTATCAGGCTCCGTCTTTGTGGTAGCTCTTATAGAATAGATGCCAGTTTACTGCTTGAATTTCAGGATACTAATAAAATATTTAGTCAGAAATGCCCTAAGTATAAAAGTGATAGGAGAATTTGGAAATGGATAATGGTGATGGCTGAACATGATAAACATAACTAATGTCACTGAATTGTACACTGAAGAATGTTGAAATGGCAACTGATTTGTTACATAAACATCTACCATAATAATAAAAAGAAATGACTTAAGCATGCTAAAAGGCTTAATTCTATTATAGAAGGAGAAAACTGAGGTGGCCAGATAGCCTTTTCAGTTCTTAGATAGGTCTCTAAGTATAGCTCAGGTTTACATAGAAAATGTACTGTTCAAGAGAAAGTAAGGAGAAGGAAAATTCCATGTGTGGAAAATGACTTTTCCAAAAAACTTAAAATATTAGTGGATCCCTTCCAAAATCTGTCCTATCTACCTCCTCAGCTTGTCTCATGCCTATCCCACCCCCCATCCAACTTGACTCTTGATTCACCCTAAATACATGTCAACCCTTGAACCCAAGCACTCTACCCACCCTCCTCACCCCCAAGTGCTCTGTGCTTTGAGGCCTTTATGTTGTTCCCGCTTCCTGGATCACTTATTCCCTCCATACTCTAGGTCAAAACTTACACATCAGACTCCGCATCCTAGTTTGGGTACTTAAGTGCTTTCATTACACCCTGTGATTCTTCATCTTAATATTTATTATGCTATTGTTAGCCCTTGTATTTGTCTGTCTTCCCACTATACTAACTTGTGATCCCTTTTGCTTGGTACAATGCCTATTAGTGGACATTTAATAAATACTGGATAAATCCATGTATGTAATGGCACGTAGCCTTTTGTTCACTCAAATCAGACCTCTACTGACTTGCCGTGGAGCCTACATTTCCCATACTCAGTCAGCTTCTTTAAATAAAGATATTTTAGTATTTATTGAAAACCTGGTGTTTACTAGACCTTGGGGATAGATGATGGTGGATGAGTCAGACAGAAGTCTTATTCACATGGAGCATATAACAGGATTGACATTTAAAAAATAGAATTTTGTGAAAGAAATCAAGATACAAAACGAGAGGGGAATCTGCTTTAGGTTTGGAAGTCAGGGAAAGTCTCTGAGAAGGTGACGTTAAAACATACTACAGGGACAAGGAGCTGGCTGTGCAAAGAGGAGAAAAAGAGCATTCTCGGGGAGCAGCATATTTAAAGGTCTTAAGCAGAAAATTGGTGAGCTGAGGAATTGAAGGTGTTGAGAGATTTGGGTGACCAGCATCGTAAGCAAGGGTAAGAGCCTGTGCTATGGATTCGATGGGGAGAAGAGCTGGGATGGTCAGCAGTTTGGATTTTAAGTACAATGAGAATGACATCCAATTATGTTGATTATGGGAATGAATTGTAGGGTGGCCAGAGTAGAACCTAAGAGACACACTAGAACTGGTAAGAGTTGAGGTAACCTGGAAAGGCAGTAGGCTTAGTGATGGACAAAAGTGGGTGGGGTGAGATACATTTTCAAACTGATTGGTAGACTTCAGGCATTGGAGGTAGAAGGTGAGAAAACAGAAAGATGACACCTGTCTGAGGTCCATTTACTGAAATGGGGAAGCTTCGAGGGGGAAATAGGGTGAAGAAGATGACAAGAATCAAAAGTTCGTTTTGAATATAACATGCCTAAGAGGTATCCAAGTAGAAGGTTTCAGGTAGGCAATTGAACGTGTGAGCTGATGCTTCCAGAAGAGATCTAGCCTGGAGATAAAATGTGGATAATCACCAGAAATACTATTTAAATTCATGAAAACTGGCAGGTCAAAAAGAAGTGGGCCCAGGACCAAGGCCAGGGCAACCTCAATACTGGGTAAAGTGGAGCAACCAGTAAGATGGTAGGAAAGTCTGTAGAGAGTGGACTTGTGGAAGCCAAGACTTTCGAATAGGGGAGTGATGTTAATCAGATCAATCAGAACAGAAAAATGTCCATTGGAGTTAACATCATGGAGGTTCTTGGGCAGTGGGCAGCGTTAGTTTAGTGCCTAAGAAGGGTAAACAAACATTAGCATTCATTCAACAAAAGAATGGTTTAGCTTGAGTTTCCCAATAAAGAAAACATACAAAGGACACTGAGGGAAGTTTAGATGGGAGCAGGAATGAGAAAACCAATGTCAGTTTAAGGGAATTAGCACTTGAAGATGCTAATAAGTGGAAGAGGTTCAAAACCTTTGCCTCTTCCAGAACTTTGCCTATGGGTTGTCCTAGGGGAATAGTACACAGAATTATTTGAGTGGAGTTTAATACCTCTGAACCAAGGCCTTTTGGAAGATGAAAACAAACAAAAAACCTTGTTGCCATTGAGTGAATTCCGACTCATAGTGACCTTGTAGGAGAGTGTAGAACTGCCCCATAGGGTTTCCAAGGAGTGGCTGGTGGATTTGAACTGCCAACCTTTTGGTTAGCAGCCTGACCTCTTAACCACTGCACCACAGTTCAATTAGTTGGCCTACAGGTGTAGAATGATACAGGCTGAGTCATTCACACCAGTACTTGTGGGAAAGGCACGCACTGGTGACTACCGATGCATTGCATGACTTCATTGCTTCTATCGGGATTTAGTGTCACCGATAATGTGGCGTGCTGTCTTGAATCGTTTAGGTGGCCAGTGGAAGAAAATAAACACCTTCAGGAGGCAGAAGGGGGAAAACTGAAGGCAGGCAAGATAACGGAAAGGCACATACCTGGACGGAAATCTTACTTCCATAAAGTCTAGAAATCTGAGGGAAGATGGAATTGATCAAAGAAAGGATGAGGGAGATGGATATAAATTGTGTGTATGACAACATAAGATACATAACACAGATACATTGTCATAAATATATGTGTGCAGAGAACTGCTCCATTGGATTTTCAAAGCTTTGACCTTCTGGAAGCAGAAGCAGATCGCCAGGCGCCTCTGGGTAGGTTCGAATAGCTAACTTTTTAGCTAGTAGTTGAGATGTGTGTGTGTGTGTGTGTGTGTGCACACACATACAAAATAAATCAGTGTCT